AGGATGCAAGCCCCAAGAAAGTCCAGACATCACGAATGTTAGCAGGTCGTGGCCAATCCTGAACTGCAACAACTTTCATTGCTTCAGGAGCCAACCCCTCTCCAGAAATGACGTGACCCAGATAGACTACAGAGGGAACCCCAAAAGAGGACTTCTCTTTGTTGATCTTGTACTGGTTGTCACGTAAGGCCTGAAGGACCAGAGCCAGATGTTGCGCATGCTTCTGGATAGAACGATTGAATATCAAGATATCATCCAGGTAGACAACTACGAACTTCTCCAGATAAGGCTTGAGTATGCGATGCATCTCTGTTTGGGAGGTGCCTGGGGCATTGCAGAGACCGAATGGCATAACCAAGTACTCATATATGCCATACCTGGTTTTGAAGGTTGTCTTCTGGACATCGCCTTCAACCATCTCAATCTGGTGATAGCCAGATTTGAGATCGATCTTGGTAAAGATGGTACAGCCCTGCGCCATGTCCAACAGGTCATCAATGCGAGGAAGGGGCTCTGTAGACTTCCTCGTGATTTTGTTGAGACCTCTATAGTCCACGCACATCCCGAACTCACCATTCCCTTTCGGAACAAAGAGGAATGGTGCCCCAAACTCAGATGTGCTGGGCCTGATCCAGCCCTTGCTGGTCAAGGTCTCTAACCGTCTCCTGAGCTCTTCAAGTTCAGTAGGGGACATCCTGTAGACTCGGCCTTTGGGAGAGACCGAACCAGGCAGGATCTCAATCTTCTGTTTGGTCGGCCTATGAACAAGTCCAGTAGGATCCTCCATAAGATCTGAGAAACGATCTACAACCTGCTGAATCTGAGAGGGACAGGGAGCAGTCTCCACGTCAGTCTGTTTGACATAAGCCACGAACAGACGGGCGTGGTCAGTTTGGCGTGAGAATCGCAAAAATTTGCGAGCACTCATGCAATAACAGCTGCTGGCCGGATGATACTCATCAGCGAGCATGCAAGGGCGATATACTCTATGCCGGTCAGGTAGCTCAACCCTGGGGATCCGTCAGTCAATCCTAGGGTTGGTGGCACCAAGCCACTGCATAGAGAAGACAACGTCAAAGGGGACGTGAGGAAAGACATAGAAGTTCAGGCGATGCCTGACTTCTCCCTGCTTGTCAAAGGACACAGGTAGGCCCTTGACAGCAGAAGTGATCCTGACTGTGGAAGAGTCTCCAATGCGCACGTTTAAAGGTTGTCGCAATTTCACCAACCTCTGATCCAAGTGCAGCTTGCTGACAGCCTTGGGAGAGATGAAGCTGCGAGTAGCCCCACAGTCTAAGAGCCCTTTGATCTTGGCTCCCAGGATGAAGGGTCAAAGCAGGATGAGTTCATACTTATGCTTTTTCTTCTTTTCCTGCAAGGACGTGAAAAGATCAGCAAGGCACTGAGCATCCTCCTCCTCCCACGTCTCATCCAACTCAGAGTCTTCAAAAGTGAAAGCCCAGAGATAGAAGAACCAGTGAGAGAATGTGAAGATCCACCTTCATCAGAAAGTGAATCAGCACTGGTGGAAGGAGTTGCTGCTTCCACCTCTATCTGCTCTAGTTTTTTGAACTAGAGTTGCTTGTAGACCTACGAGGCATGCTGAGACAGTCTTTTAAGAAATGGTCCCCCTCGCATCTCAGGCATACCCCCTTGTCCTTTTTCTTCCTCCATACCCCCTCCTGGATCCTGAGTGCATGCCAGGGGAAGATGGAAGGATCAAGGGGATGAGCTGGCCATTGGACGTCACGTGGTAGAGGTACTCTCTGGGCCCCAGGGGAAGAGGCACGTCCCTTTCCTTTCCCCTGTTTACTGGTTGATGCTTTCTGGGCTGGGGCCTTGCCCTTTGTCAGGCCCATCAAAGCATCAGCCAGGGCAAGAACAGCAGAATCTGCAGTAGATGATGAGGCAGTCCCAGGTGGAGGGCTCTGATACCAACTCTTATGATTCTGGTTGTTTGTTGCCTGAAGGCCAACACTCACTCACAGAGACTTCCAGGTATGCCCATACATTCACAGAAGGAAGGGGAGAGGATAGGAGTATCACACCGCACAGGGAGAGATAACACAGCGGAAGACTTGACCATGCGATATGACAGGGTACACTGAAAGTGCAATTCACTCCACTCAATCCTCACAACCAGTCATAGAGAAAAGCCGAGCAGATCACATCCAGGAAAACAATGAAACGATGATAGTCCCAACCCAGTTATACACTGTCTATTAAACTCAGAGTCTCGAATTGTCAGGATAACTTCAGAACTACAGTGCGCTGCTCAGAAATGAGCAGCGCTTCACTCCCCAACCCTGATTAACACCCGTAACACCCCTGAGCCCCTGAAACATCAAGCGCCACCCAGATACAGCCTCCTGAGGGAAGCGCCACCCTGAAACAGGCCTCTGAGGCCAAGCGCCACTTAGAGGGTGAAGAAGAAGACCAGCACCACGGTATCTGATGATGACGAGGTGTCGGAAGACTTCCCGGGTGGAAGTCTGCAGCAGCGCCACCAAACCCTGACAAGATGACCTCTGAGGAAGAGAGCTGCAGCTATGGCTGCAGCGCCAACACCCTGGAACCCCACTCCGGAGGAGGGTCCGGCAGGGCACCAATCTCTCTCGCCTCCAGCAGACCTCGATAACCCAGACCTCTGTCAGCCCCTGCGTGCTGGCAGAGTACAGCGCAGGTCCCAGCTATGGCCGGCGCTCCGAAGGTCTGGTTATGCCCGTCTCCTTCCACGATGAACCGTCACCACTTCCGGTTCACGCGTAGCGCAGCAGCGATGTACTCGGTACCAACTGCAAAAAGCCCTGAACCGATGTGCCCACCCTATGTATATACTACCACTAGCCTAGACTCGACCTAGACCGGACTGACTGACCGACCGGTACAGTATCTGTTTCTGCCTCTCGGCCTCTACCGGACCCGGCTATAGGCTATAGGACCGTCTATCATATTAGGCCCTTAGGGCCTGTCTGTCCTAGGGGTAGCCCGGCCTGCTATTCGCAGTTAGGGTAGCTGTAGGGAATCCTGTTAGTACCGGGCCTGTATTTTCCTGGATTTGCAGATGTGTCCCTCACAAATTTCCCTCATGGGTAGGTCTCTCGGTTAGCCCTCAGCCAAACAAAATTTCGAATCTGTCCTACCTATAGTACAGCCTCGACAGAGAGAGGCTACAGGCGACCAGAAAACAGCAAGTCATTGCACCTGGACACCTTCGTACCTACCCTGTTTTTCACGCCTCTAAGTTTGCACCGTCCAAAGAAACTGATCAGTTTCCCACTCGTCGCTCAATGCTGCCCCCAACCATGGACGGAGAGGTCGACGTCGATGACATCGTGGAACACAGGGAAATGCCGGTTCCAAGACCGACAGGCAGGGGACATCCTCCGAAGCCGAAGCTGCAGTACCGAGTTCGGTTCAGACATCACACTGATCCAAAGGAGGATAGATGGTTCACACGGGAGGAACTAATGCAGATTGCACCGCAGGTTGTCGCCCACTAAGAGAAGTTGCTGCAGAAAGGAAAGCGCCAGATTGAATGAACTTCTCAGAGGACTAGCGAAGTATGGAGGAGGGAATGCGAGGCTCAAGGCCTTGATCTGCCCTACTGGGCCCTATTCTCTGTACAGTCAGCCGCCCTAAGTGAAGGTAGGCTCGACCTGGGGCCTACAGGCCTATTTTGGGGTCACCGCGCAACTGGGTGAATGCAGGCAGTTGCGCAGCGCCAGTTGGTTAAGAGCGCCCAGGCCCCGGCTTCCTCTTTTGAATGTAACCGAGGCAGGCCTGGGCCAGATTCGTAACATGGACCGAACACAGGCCGCAGGCAGTTGGGCACGGGCAACCATCACAGGCCCAGGGCCTGATTTGTTTGGACTGCGGCTCAGCCTCTCTGGGCCTACCGGAAGCTTCTGGGCAGGGGCCCAGCGCAGCCAGGCTGCACACGCAAGCAGGCAGGCCACTTCCATTTAGGAAAGTGCCTGCCCATGCATTCGATATTCGGGCACTGACTGCGTGCTGTGCAAGAGCTGCTTCGCTAACGCTGGCCAGCGCTCAAGCGCTCACGGGAGAGCTGGATGAGCAGGCAGCCATAGCCGAGCTGCGCTGCTGTAAGCTAGATGGGACACATGGTGCTCCTTGGGTGCATGTGGCATCTGTGAGTGGGGGATCGAGGTTGTGAGTGATACGAGAGACATATCTGGTGCTTGAGGCGAACGGCATTGGCCGAGATCTGCTCGTACTTCGGGGAGCTGTTGATGTCACCAGCGGCATTGTAGACAGGCTGGATAGGATCTGCCATTTGTAGTCTGGGTGCAGAGCGCCAGATAGGATGTCGACATTGGTTCTTTGTTGATGATGATGAGGCTATTCGAACATTGTCACTCATGAGCTTTTGCTGTGCTCTTATTTGGTGGRACTCRTGMTGCAATTCTGCTTTTGGTTCGAGGTCACGACTATCTGGTCTCAGGTGTATTACTCTTCTTGGTTTCTGAAGTTCGCTATCGCTCATTTTCCTTGCACTTCCTAGGTTTCTATTTCTTTTCCCTGTTTTTTTTTTTGAATCTGACTAGGCCATTGTAACGCCCTCACTAAGGGCATACTCACAGATGTACTGAAGATTCTGTATCCACCTGCTTTCACATCCATAGTGTTTTTTTTTTTCTTTTTTTTTTTTAGTTGTTCGTTTTTTTATCCAACTCTTGTGATGAGATAAGTTTTCGGAAAAGTACCAGCAAAATACAACAGGACCCAGCTTGGGAACACTCAGCCTGCAGTGGCGGATCATTTCAAGTTTGTATCCTTATGTCTTTTTCAGTTGTGCAGATTTGCCAGATAGCCGTCCTGGGATCTGTCCAGGCAGGAAAACCAGCTCGTTGGCCAGGCCAGGCAGCCTTACCACGTTGTAGGCACAGGTGCTGGCTTGCACATGGATGGTCTTGTGACTTATATTTTGTTCTATTCCTGGCATGCTGTCTGGCCTTGAATCTCTGCTGCTTTTGCAGGTGTTAAATTCGCAAGACAAGTGGGGCACTCAACTCATTTCGTGTGTTATACCTATATAAGTGAAGTTGCTGTTTGTATTGTTCAGAAGCAGAGCTTTGTTTCGGATGGCAACCAATAATTCTGAGTTTCTCAAGTTTGCGGCAGAATACCTGTACAAGACCCTTCCACAACTCACTGTCTACAGGTGAGTCGTTCTGTAGCTGGGGCCAGCATCCCCTCTGGTGACGTTTGAGTATCTGCTCAACACCCTTCCACTCCTCACTGTTTACAGCTGAGTTACCGTTTAGCCGAGGTCAACATTCCCTGTAGTTCCGAGGTACTTTCGATTGGACTTTTGAATTTCTGTAGGAATGGAGACCTGAGTTGGAATCCAGATGAATCAGATGAATGAAATTCTTGAATTGCCTGCGGGTCAGTCCCATGCTTTTTCTGTTTTTTTTTTGAAGTATCTGCTCAACACCCTTCCACTCTTCACTGTTTACAGCTGAGTTACCGTTTAGCCGGGGTCAACATTCCCTGTAATTCCGGGGTACTTTTGATTGGACTTTTGAATTTCTGTAGGAATGGAGACCTGAGTTGGAATCCAGATGAATCAGATGAATGAAATTCTTGAATTACCTGCGGGTCAGTCCCATGTTTTTTTTTTTTTTTTTTTTTTTT